GGAGATGATGCTTCCCAGATAATTAAACTGTTGGACTGATTTGAGTGCTGTTTCACCAATGGTGATATGGGGATGATGGAAGGCTTCCTGAGGTGCAGGCTGATATAAAACTTCTGTCTTCTTCAAGCTGACTTCCAGACCAAAAAGCTCAGCAGCCTCTGCAAAGCAGGATGTTAAACGCTGCAGAGCAACTTCTCTGTGGGCGATGAGGGCGGCATCATCAGCATAAAGCAGCTCACGGACAAGATGATTTAAGGTCTTAGAGTGGACCTTCAGTCGCCTTAGATTGAAAAGGCTCCCGTCGGTACGATATCGAATGTAGACACCGTTTTCAAAATCGAGGTCTGCCGTGGCCCTTTGGAGCATCATGCTGAAGAAGACTGTAAATAAAGTTGGTGCAAGAACGCAGCCTTGCTACACGCCATTGGCTATTGGAAAGGGCTCAGAAAGTGCATCGTCATATCTGACTTGACCGCACTGGTCCTCATGAAGTGAGATGATCATTTTGAGGAACTTGGGAGGACATCCTAAACGTTCCAAAATCTGCCACAGACCTTTTCTGCTCACAGTATTGAAAGCCTTGGTGAGATCAACAAAGGTAACAGAGTCCTTTGTTCTGTTCCCGACACTTCTCTTGCAGTTGTCTGAGAACAAATACCATGTCTGTGGTACCTCTGTTGGCTCAGAAACCACATTGGCTTTCAGGTAGAAGATCTTCTGCCATGGCGGGTATTAATCTGTTCAAAAGAATTCTGGCAAGGATTTTACCAGCAATGGAGAGCAGAGTAATACCTCGGTAATTTGAGCAGTCTGATTTATCTCCTTTCCTCTTGTACAAGGTGACGATGACAGCGTCACGAAGGTCTGAAGGCACTACACCTCGTTCCCAGCAGCGCACCACAAATTCGTGAAACTTAACATACTCTTCTATATGGGTCTGAATCCTGGGTCATTTACCGCCACCACTTGCGTCTCTTAGAACGCTTCCATCAGCGCTGCCTCCGTACAATCCTAAACATCCACTGGACGGATTATGTGACCAACACATCTGTCCTTGAACAGGCAGCAGTCCCAAGCATTGAGGCCATGCTGCTGAGAACACAGCTGTGCTGGGCAGGGCACGTCTCCAGGATGCAGAACTACCACCTCCCTAAGATTGTGCTCTGTGGGGAACTTGCCACTGGCTGCCGCAAGAGAGGAGCCCCGAAGAGGAGATACAAGCACTCCCTGAAACAATCCCTCAGCCTTGGCCATAGTGATCATCACCATTGGTCTACTCTGGCCTCCAATCGGGAGGCCTGGAGACACACCATCTATAACGCTGCTGCTGCTTTTGAGAACACACGCAGGATCACTCTGGAGGAGAAAAGACAACGCAGAAAGAATCGCGTCTTGTCGATATCACCTGGGGAGTCTTTCTGCTGTACGTTCTGCAACCGGACTTGTCTATCTCCCATTGGCCTTTTTAGCCATCAGCGCTCTTGTAGCAAGCGTGGGTAGAGCCCTTCTCAAATCTTCATTTGCAAAGCCCAGCCATGACTTTCAAGCAGCATAGCTCATAATTTTATTTATATGACTTCTTTATATATACCTATGTGCATGTAATCACTGTCAAATTAATTCATTAATTAATCAAAATAAATATTTTACTTCTGCACAGTATATATGCCAATATTATAAAGCTCTTCAATGACTCAATTTCCAAAGGAATAGACAGACTACATAATTTTTTACACTAGCAAACAACATTGCTCTTCCTGAATATTAGAAAGCTAAGTCTGATGGTGCTGCTGAACCATCACTTTTTCCCCCATCATTGCTTTTACCATAGGTGAGCTTGTATTACAGGTAAGATCACTGTAGATGTACTGTGGTCTCACAGCAAATCTATGTTAAATATTGTAATTTAAAATGCCTCAGTGACACCATCAGTCCATATGTTGATATTGATGCCATAGCTGAACCAGTGGTTAACACTAAAAGGAAATTTTAGCAAAGCAAAAGGAATGAGATGTTACATACCATTTTCAATACTTCAGCACTTCTTGACTACCAAAGTAGCAACCTTCTTTGAGCTACTAATTTAGCAATTAACGAGCCAAACTGATCATGAAAATTTAAAAAAACATGCTAAAGTCATACTAAATTGCATTACTCCAGGAAAAGCTTCCTTCACTGCTTATCCAGGAAGAGCACTAAGATGATGTTTAGGCTCAGAACACTTTTTAAAGGGGACTTGATAGCATACTAAATTAGATTTCAAGACTAAGGGTATTTGGAAACTATAGTGTTTCCTAAGGAAATGGCTTTAGGACATCTGACAATCTCAGTGGGGAAGAAAAAGAACAATTTTGCTTCATCAACCACAGAGCTAGCACATTCTTCTCTCTGGTTGCAAACCTCCTGGCACTCATTCAGAAATTCACTAGCATTCCTCAGACAAAACCAGTATTTTGAGGAACCAATTAAGAAATCAATGCAATAATTTGTTCTTGTAGACTGAGGAGACATATAACTTTAAGAAGGTACACAGAAGGCAGGAATTTTAACAACGCATCTTCATACAAGTGCAACTTTGTTTCAATTTAATATATAAACTAAAAATGTTGACACCATACAAGTAATTTGCTGATTTCACACTAATATTTGAACTAAAAGTTGAAGAAACTGGATGCTGACAAGCTTCCCCCCCCGGTGGTACTTTAACACTAATCAATAAACTTCATTAAATCAGAACCCTTAAAGCTTCCTTAAATTTATGTTTTGCTTCACATTTTCTAGTCAAAAAGCTTCCCGAGCCCTCCGGCTAGGTACCTTGCCAAAAACATAAAAACCCAATACATTTCTCTTTAGATCTCCCCTTGCTTTGTAAACAATCAGAAAAAGACATATAATAATGTACTTCATCATTTATATAGACTAACATTTTTCAAACACCATTTTTTTTGTCCCACTTTACTGAATGGAGTGATCTAATCCCAACAGTTAGAATTTCTAGTTACCTTATTTGGAACTCTCTAACAGAAACCTCCCTTTTCAATAAAAATACAGCACAAGAGCCATGCTTTCTAGAGTAAAATGCAAGTGTGACAGAGTCTGGAAAAAGTTGCTGTATCAGGGAATGTTGATATTTTTTGGTCTGTGTTTGGGCCAGCCACCTGCAAAAGTTTTGTTCTCTGCCTGCCAAGTTCACTGATAAACGGGAGCCTCGTCCTTGGAGAGAGAGTTTCTTGTATAAACTGTTTTAATTGGTGTTCTATGATTGGCTTGTTGTCTGTAGAGGACATCTGAAGGAGAAACTGAAGATGAAGTAAAGCCCCCAGACCCAAATAGATAAG